CCGCATAAACAAAATATGTTGACTATTTACATTCTGGGCTATTCATATTACTTTTAGCGGAAAACCATTAACTAGATATTTACAAATAATCATACATAAAGCTAATGGTTATGATTTTATCACTTCTACTTTTTGAGCCCATCTGAAATGCCGGTAATAACGAATATATTTCGAAGCGACTAAGTTACACACTGATTCAATATGAATATTTTGATCTGGTGTACTTTTATTGTCTTACAGAACGTGTGTACTCATTTACACGCCTTTAACGCGTTGCTCTATGATGAACAAATTAATTCATTCGTGGGAAACTTTATTCGCTGCATTTCATCTCCGAAACGATTAATTGCTTTTCACTGCAGAAAGAAAGGTAAGTAAGATTACAAGATGATTGGAAAATGCAATTAGAACTGTAACTCAAATTTACTGGGAACGAGGTAGTAAGTTCTAGATGCAAAAGTTTTTGATTCCTTTATAGTGTTTGCAATTTTGTTAACTACTGAAAAAGTCGGTAAATTATTATTATCTTCATAGATTGCACGCTGAAGCTTTATTATAATATTGCACATCGTTAAACATTGTGCTCATGTAACCCTTCCGTCTCCTGCATGTCCAATTTATAGTGTTGCTACCATAAAAATGTGTAGAGAACTGCATGGCAAACGTACAATAATTTAAAATCGTTGAACAATCGTGAAAATTAAAAGCAAACTAAAAAGATCAGGGTAAGGGCAGTTGCAAATTTTTTCATATGGAACTACTCTTACCTAGCAAAATATTCGTCAAGTTTTACTCATAATAAGAATATTTATGTTAGTTCAAATTTCAAACATTTTTGAACATCTTAATTATTTTTAGAATCTTAGTAGTAGAATTTCAATGAGAATTTGAGAACATTTCCTAATAAGAAATTAGGTACATTTTAAAAAATGAGTTGAAGTAGCTGTACAGCGTGTTGATGAGAAAAATGATCTTCTTTAATATTGCGGAAACCCTTGGAATATTTTAATGGATTTTTACAGACTTAGGCACTTAACAGCAATACATGTTTTGTGATAAAAATATTGTTTTTAGCTTCGCCAGTGGCGTGGGCACAGGCACGTCTGTACATAATTTTAAATA